TTCTAAATTTCCTATATTTATTTTATGGTTTAAATAAGTTATCATTGACTCCACCATTTGTGTAAGATTACAAACTATAAAATGGCGTTTAACTAAGAAAAAAGTTATAATACAAATGTCTTTTCAAGGAGTTTGGATCTTATAAAAATCATTATGCTACTACTAATTATAAGGACTAAAAGTGTCAACCAGAATTGTAATTTTTCACATCCTCAGTTAACTTTTGAAGACCTTACATAATGTTAAATTAGTCCTTGGTTACTTGGCAATTTCTAAGTAATAAATGATACAGAGCTTTGGTTGCTAAAGATAGTTTTAATTTACCATTATTCTTATATATTATAAAATGACTATGAATTAATAGAATGTGTAGATACTTTGTTGATATTATATATGTATTATTTTTACACCTTAAAATAGTGATAATCTAAAATTTGTACTCATAAAACTTTAGCTAGACATCTATTAGTTTTCTTTCTTCTAGTTTTCTTTTTGGAGAAATCAAAAGTTAATTGCTTTTGTTAAAAGTGATGATTAATAAAAAGAATTAAGAATATATTGGTGTAATAGCTATAGAAAAACATGAATATATACATACAGGATAATGAATATTAATTTTTACTATTTGTTAAAATGGTAATTTCAATGTAGTAGATATACTGTTTTATTTAATATACTGAGGTTATCAATATGTTAATTATCAAATTTAAAATTAAAAACATTTTTATCTATTTATGTAATTACATGTTTAATTATGTATTTTTAAACAAATACAGCATACCTCATTTTCTTCTGCTTTACTTTATTACTCTGTGCAGATAGTACATTTTTTATAAAGGGTTTGTGGCAACCCTTTGTAGAGCAAGTCTGTCTGCTCTATTTTCCAGTAGCATGTGCTCAGTGTCTGTCACATTTTGGTGATTCCCAAAATACAGTATTTCAAAACTTTATCATCATTATCTGTTATGGTGATCTGTGATATTTTAGAGACAGAGTTTTGCTCTGTTGCTCAGGCTCAAGTACAGTGGCATTATCTATCATAGCTCACTGCAACCTCAAATATCTGGTCTCTGGGCTCAAGTGATCCTCCTGCCTCAGTCTCCCTAATAGCTAGAACTACCTACAGGTGCATGCTACCATGCACAGCTAATTTTTTTTATTTTTATTTTTTACTTTTTGTAGAGATGGGGTCTTGCTCTTGTTTCCCAGGCTGGTTACAAACTCCTGGCTTCAAGCCATCCTCCTGCCTCAGCCTTCCAAAGTGCTTGGGTTACAGGTGTGACCACCACACCAGGCCAATTAATGATCTTTGATGTTACTACTGTAGTTGTTTTGCCAGGAACCCTGTACAGCGGTCCCCAACCTTTCTGACACCAGGGACAGATTTTGTGGAAGACAGTTTTTCCACAGAGGGGGAGAGGGGTGATCTTTGCCACCTGGCTCCACCTTAGATCATAAGGCGTTGGATTCTCATGGGGATCACACAAGCTGGATCCCTTGCATGTGCAGTTTGCAGTGGGGGTTGCACTCCTATGAGGGTCTGATGTTTCCGCTGATCTGACAGAGGTGGGGTGGCGGTGATGCCAGTGATGGGGAGTGGCTGAGGTGTGGCTTCACTAGCTCATCGGCCTGGTTGCTGGAAGCTGTGGACCGGGTATTGGTAGGTGGCCAAGGGCTGGGGACTGCAGCTGTATAAGATAATGGACTTCATTTATAAATATTGTGTCTGTTCTGACTGCTCCACCTACTGGCGGTTCCCAGTCTCTTTTCCTCTCCTTGGACATACTTATTCCCTGAGACACAACAATATTGAAATTAGGCCAAGTAATAACCCTACAATGGCCTCTAAGTGTTCAAGGTAAAGGAAGATTCATATGTCTCTCACTTTAAGCCAAAACTTAGAAATTAGTTAACCTTAATGAGGAAGGCATGTGAAAAGCTGAGAGAAGCTGAAAGTTAGGCATCTTACACCAAACAGGTAGCCAAGTTGTGAATGCAAAGGGAAAGTCTTTGAAGGAAATTAAAAATGCTACAATGAATATACAAATGATAAGAGAGCAAAACAGCCTTATTGCAGTTATGGGAAAAGTTTGAGGGGTCTGGATACAAAATCAAACCCACCCTTAAACCAAAGCCTAATCTAGTGCAAGGCCCTCCCCCACGCTCTTCAGTTCTATTAAGAATGAGAAAGCTGCAGAAGAAAAGATCAAAGCTAGCAGAGGTGGGTTCATGAGGTTTAAGAAGAAGCCATCTTCATATATAAAAGTGCCAGGTAAAGCAGCAAGTACTGATGTAGAAGTACATCCAGCAAGTCTGGATCTTCTGCAGCAAGTTATCCAGAAGATCTAGCTAAGATAATTGATGAAGGTGGTTGTGCTAAACAACAGATTTTCAATATGGATAAAACAGCCTTACCTTAGAAGATTCCATTTAGGACTTTAATAGCTAGAAAGGAGAAGTCAATGCCTGGCTTAAGAGCTTCAAAGAACAGGCTGACTCTCCTGTTAGGTGCTAATGCAGCTGGTGGCTTTAAGTTGAAGCCAGTGTTCATTTACCATTCAGAACATCCTAGGGCCCTTAAGAATTATGCTAAATCTGCTCTGCCTATGCTCTGTAAATGAAACAACAAAGCCTGAGTGACAAATTATTATGGGTCTCTGGGATTAGGTAAATTATATTATAGTATATTATAATTTTATGTAACTATATAACATAAAATCAAGTGAAAATACCTATGGCTTTCGACTTTAGTATAACTATAAAGTCAAAGCAAATCTACGAATTAAGAGATAAACAGCAATACAAATATAATTCTAGTTAACACTAATTTTAACGTGATAGATGATGTTTAGCCAAAACAATATTGTGTTTCACAACATGACAGTGATCTGACCACGGGGGTTCTTTTATCTTCAGCCTATTTAGATGCCTGCTAAGGTGTCTTAGTTCTTCCATCTCTTCATCCAAACTGTTGCAAAATCTGTCTTGTTGCAGTGCCTTCTAACAGCTTTTGAAGTGAATGCGTCATTTGTGGATTAAATTGTTTTATTTTTTAATTAAAAATTTTAATTGATGATAAAATAGCACCTACTTTGTGGATTTGTAGTAAAAAACAAGTAAGAACAATCTATATAAAATGCACAAGGTTGGCATGTAAGTGTTCTGTTATTTGGCAACTTCTCCATTCTAAATTCAGACATGGTCTCTGAAACTATGGAATTACATGTTTGTGAGGTGGTCTTCCAGAGAAGTGCTGTCCAGTACAACTTTGTGCACTGAGGGAAATGTTCTATATCTGTGCTGTCTGGTATGGTAACCACTCTCCACGTGTGGCACTTAAGTGCTTGGAATGTGACTAGCACAACTGAGGAACTGAAATTTTAATTTTAATTTTAATTACTTTATATAGCCATGGTTAGTGATTACTGTATGGGCGGCATAGATCTAGGGTATGTTTGTATAGAAACTATGTTATTGTCAAGTTAAAAATAAAATTTAAAATGTCTCCTAGAGAATTTTGTATATACCTGAGAATATGTCAGCACACTATAGTTTGGGAAACCCCTTCAGTAATTCTGTGGTGATTTTGCAGGTATTTCCCCTCTTCTTTCTCTTAGTTCTGATAACTGCTTTTTTTCCCCTCCCAGGAAAATTAACCTTTCACTGTTTTATTTTCCCCTGCCCATCCTGAAGTTCTTGACCACTGGAAGATTGTTTAAAAGCAGTTAATCAGGCACATTCACATAGGCTGTTTAGAACATCTGCCTATTCTAATCTAGCGTCTCCTACCAATATTGATATTTACTATTTACTTCTTCCAAACCACTCACAGATCTGTATGCAGGAACATGCAATCATTAATGTCTGTTTCCCTGTAGTTATCTGCAAGTTATTTTGAAAAAAGTAGGTCTCTTTTATGTTATGGTCCCAAGGATGATTTCAGTTTAAAGGAAGTAGTAGATACTCATGAATACTCAATGACATATTATTTCCAGTGAAGCAGTAGGCTGCATTTACATATGTTTAATATTTATGTAAAGTGCTTATTCAGTCCTATTTATGTTGCCATTAGTAGTTTCAAGTAAACTCTGACCTGTGTCTGTATGTATTTTTGAATGGCTTACTTATGTTAGCCTTAGTCACTAACATTTTGCTATTAATTATTTTCAGGTGTTAAAATTATTATACCTGCAACTCCCTTTTCTTTATTGCCTGAGTCTATAATGCCCAAGTGGGCTGGGCAGGTGGCTCATGCCTGTGATTCCAGCACTCTGGGAGGCCAAGGTGGGAGGATTGCTTGGGGCCAGGAGTTTGAGACCAGCCTGAGCAAGAGACTCCATGTTTATAAAAATAGAACAATTAGCAGGGCATGGTGTCACATGCCTGCAGTACCAGCTACTCGGGAGGTTGAGGCAGGAGAATTGCTTGAGCCCCGGAGTGTGAGATTGTAGTGAGCTGTGATGATGCCACTGCACTCTAGCCCAGGCATCAGAGCGAGATCCTGTCCAAAAATAAATAAATAAGAAATATAATGTCTAAGTGGTAAAATCAAATAGGAACTGTCTGAATAAATTAACTGTAGCCATCAAAACTCCTATTTTCAAGTAAGTGTCCTTGATTATAGAGATTTAAGAAGAGAACGCTGTATTTAGGGAAGTGGCCAGGCTCTTTGGAATGTAGATTATTAGAATAAGAACCTTAGACTGGTCTTTTTATTTTAAGTACTTGATTTTCACTTTTGTGTGAAATTCAGAATTGGCATAATTAAAAAACATGGATTACTTTGGTGGCGTACCCCACCCCTAGTTCCAAATAAGAACAGAGAGGACTCTTTTTAAAATAAATTCTGCAATAAAATTTTATGGCAAGACCATCATAATCAAAGGAAAAAATAAAAATGATTAAATGTGGGTTTTTTCCTTTTAAATTAATCATAGTTATTTAATTTTGCTAAATACATGATGCTTTTTTGGTTTTTTTCCCTCCTAAATTACTTTTAGGTTTGAGTTTACACATAAAAAACAATCAGGCGGTGCAGGCCAGTTTGGAAAAGTGATAGGTGTACTGGAGCCTCTGGACCCAGATAACTACACTAAGTTGGAGTTTGCGGATGAAACATTCGGATCAAATGTTCCAAAGCAGTTTGTGCCTGCTGTAGAAAAGGTAAATTTTAAAAAAGCTTTTTTTTTTTTTGCATTTTTATTTATTAAAAACAGTTTATTAGGTATCAAATCATACCTTATCTTCCATCACATTGTCTGTCATGGTTTATTTTAGTTATAGTCCTGCTTCTTGATCTGATTGTTAAGCTTTCCATCTGATTTAGAATCTCTAGTTCATTAAGTGCAAGAGCTATAAATACATGCTATGACAATAATGGGAAATCATTCTATTTCCTTTTTTTTTTTTCTTAGAGCCTGAGGTTTCCTTTGTGCCCAGTTCTATCATTCTATTTCTTAGTCATAGTTACCATATTTCTCTTGATAAATTGAAACTACTGCATTGATTGTGAGGAGCAATTAAAGTTTTAGTAGTCCATAAGGATTTATGAAAGTTTTATGTGTACTATTTTAGTAGAATGATCATTCATTAAGATTCCCAACACCTGGGTGTTCCTGTTATCTCAGCTGCTGATTAACATGCTCTTTGGTAAATCAGTGTTCAGAACCAGTTTCTTCATTGGTAAACTGAGAGTAAAATACTTAAACCTGGATGCCTCACAGAGTTGAGGATCAAATAAGACTTATGTGACGTTTCCTGAGGAATTTGAAGTGCTTTGCACATATAAGGGGTTAGCGTTTTGTTTGCTTTTCAGGTCACTTGCTCTATGATGCTGTAAACCTTTAGCTTATTCTTATAGATTGTTGCTTTGGAGTTTGTTTTTTAACCTTTTAACTTAGAAATCCCTATTAACAGGTTATAATTTTGGTTTCAGTGGTGATAGCATTTTTTGTTATTAATCTATTCCATTCATTATACTCTTATTTTAAGACAATAATTTTGTCATTCTCACACTTTTGAATATCTTATATCCTACAAGATTAATATAGGTAAAGGAGGGTTTAGGTATTTTTAGCATACATAATTTATAGTTTTGAAATGCCAAAAAATATAGTGTACTGTCTATGCAGCCATGTTATTATGTTGCCAGGAATGCTAATTTGAATTGTACAAACTCTGTGAAATAGTCTGGCACAGTTGTGAGTAATGATAAGAAAAGAAAAAAATATTTAAGTGACTGAAATAAAAAGAATTATAAATTTATCAACTCTAAATATGTGTAGTTGATTGTATATCAGTTATACCTCAGTGAAGCTGATTTTTTTTAATTGCATTTGGAAAAATGAAAATTACTTTTTAATTTTAGTTCTTACTGACAGTGCATAACACCAGAGCTATAATATAGTGATCTGCCAATGAAGCAAAGCAGTTGTATGTTCATAGTAGGAGCTCAAGATACAACTATGATGAACACCAATTTTGATGGGGGTTTTCTTTTAGGGAGTTCCTTAGTTTTGCTTTTCCTCTCTCTCCTCGTTATAAAATTAAGATCATCCTATGTCTATACTGGGTTATGAGAGTTAAGTAATTCCTGAAGATGAGGTTATGAGAAAATGTTGTTAGCACTCTTAGCATTGCTTTCGAACTAGCTCACACCTTTAAATATTAATAATATGCTTTTCTAAGAGGTTGCTCATCTAGATGCCACAATAATGAAACTCAAAAGATGTAAAGATGTTAAATATTTTTTAAAAATTCTTTTTTGGGGGGTGAAATATAGCATACATAAAAAGGTTACACTAGTGAACACAGAAATGTTTGGGGGTTCTTGATAATGCATCTGTAAATAAAATCCACTCACTCCATAAGTTGTGTTTATTCATTAACAGGGATTTTTAGATGCCTGTGAGAAGGGCCCTCTCTCTGGTCATAAGCTTTCTGGGCTCCGGTTTGTCCTGCAGGATGGAGCGCACCACATGGTTGATTCCAATGAAATCTCTTTCATCCGAGCAGGAGAAGGTGCTCTTAAACAAGGTATGCTGTATACTAGTGTAACCACCGCATCCCAAATCCCTCACTTCTTTTCACTATCAAAGAATAAAAGCAAGAGACAAAGAATGCGTTGCAGGCAGAGAGGGTTTATTGGAACGAAAGTGCACTGGAGGGTTAAGAGCGGACACAAGTCCCAGCAGATTGTGGCTCTGGGATTTCTGTGTCATCTGTTTTTCTCCCTCCCATCTGCTCTCTCCTCCTTTGTGAAGTTGTCTCTTCCCTTTTTTTCTTGACTGGTGGGGATATTGTCTCCTCTCTGCGGTCTGGCGGATGGGGAGTTTTTCATCTTATAATGGTTAGGCTGGGATATGTCATGGGGCTCAAAGCCCATTGAGGGGTGGGGAGGGCAAAATGCAATGTCATATAATGTGCCCTGTGTTGTTTCTGGTTTTTTTGTGACACTTTTGGTTACCTTTATCTTGTTATTGTTACAGTATGTTCTTTTACTCAGCATCACATTTTTTTCACACTGCCGGTTCAGCACTTCCTCTGCTCATGTCTTTTTTTTCAGCATATTATGGGGGTACAAATGTTAAGGTTACGTATATTGCCCTTGTTCCCTCTCCCCCCTCGAGCCAGAGCTTCAAGTGTGTCCATCCCCCGGTTGGTGCACATCACACTCATGTCTTACTTTCCTACCTATGCTAACACTAGTACCCATCGCTTTGGTGTGTCTGTTTTCCCTGATAGACTATGAGGGCCTCAGAAGGCAGTACTATTTTTAGTTTTCACCCAGAGCACTAGACCTCACACCAGAGAATATGGTAGGTAGTGAACAGATATTAATAGAATTGAAGTGAGTGTGTGTTCTCTTTCTTGAAAAGTTAAAAGCCTACCCTGTACTCCTAATTTATCTGGTTTTTTTCATGGGTTAAAATCATAGATAATCTGGAAGTTCTATTTTTAATAGAGATGATAGAAAGGTTCAGAATTCTAAGAAATATTTTAAAGATATGTTAACAGTAGTCATGCTATTTTTAGTGACTTTTTCAAATGTCAATCAATCCATAAATTTGTAAGTCATTTTTTCATGTATATGACATTGTAAGTTTTTAGGCATTTTGAGAGTAGCAAAGTATTTTGAAATAATTCAGTAAACCTTATTCACAATGCAGATTTCTTGCTAAACTGCTAAAATTGTTAATTTTTTCCACATAGAAGAATATGTGTATTTAAACTCAATGAACTAGAACCCTCAGCAGTTGTAAACATATCTGATTTTTTGCTTTTAAGAGAAAAAAAGCCAATCACAACATAGCAGTTTGATATCAGGGTTATTCAACAAAGGATCTTCAAAGTTGTGACCTGAAACAGAAAATTAATTCTCTTTGTCATCTCTTCCATATCCTTTATGTAGAGATTCATTAGTAATGTCCATAAATATCTTTATACAAGTTATGATTCACAAAACATTTCAGAAATATTGTCATCAGAGAGAGTTAAAATGGACAATAGAAAATTAAATTAATCATACTATTTCCTGAGCATTCGGTAAATCAGGGTTTTGTTGATTCTCTATTTTGAATTTTGTGTTGCCTTTGGTTGCAGTTTGCATCTGTGATCAGGTGTGGGGCAGTGGTTCGATAAGGTTGCTGATTTCTTAACCAGGTTGCTAATTGCTTATTTTAAAGTAATTAGAGCCTTTAGTAATTTGTTTTAGTTTCTCAGCTGTGAAAGGGAAAGAGCTTCCTCCATTTCATTTATGTCAGTTTTCCATTAAAAATGCAGTTGAAATCTATGATGTAGAAATCTTTTCTACAATCTTCAGATTGTGTTCCTAGGAAATAAGAAAATAAAATGACAAAATGAGACTTTATTAGGCATGACTCAGAGTAAAAGACTTTCAAGTGTTTACCACTTTAATGTTATGCTGACAAATTAGTTATAATCACTTGATATACTTTTTAGAAGTACAATTAAAACAAATTAGAAAGCACCAATTGTTTTGTGCTGATTCTTGGATGTAAATTGGTATGTTTCCTGGAGATAAAGGTTATATAAATCCAGGTAATTGATTTGGTTATCAATTGACAAAGAGCCTCATCCTTTTTAATTGCTCCTATATTTAAATGTAAGTAAATATAGATGTATATGCCCATAATACACATACATATCTGTGAAAAATGTCTATATATATAATAACTAAACAGTTGAATATGTACTATTTAGTTTTTTATTATTTAGGCATAGTATAAATATTAAATATGATTAATTGTCTGGTAGATGTGCAAAGGAAAAGCATTAGATTATAATCGAATTGAGAAGTTTTTTATTTTTGCAAAATATACATGTGCAGACAAGTAGGGTGCTAGTATGAAAAATAGATTCTTCTGTTTGCTGTTTCTTTTGATTCTTATTTCTTCATGATTGAAAGACAGGAATCTTTGAAACATCACATTGTACCCCACAAACATATACAATTATTATTTGTCAATTAAAAATAAAATAAAACTTTAAAAAATTAGATTTGGAGTAAAAATAAAAATTAGCCTTTCCAATCCTAAGGGGTTCGGAAAAAAGACAAAAATGTAAAAGTCACATGAAAGGAAGTTCTTGCCAAACTCAGTAAGAAAATCAACTTTTTATGCATATACCTCCACTGAATGTCATATGAGAGTTTCAGGGCCAAAATGTTGGTAAATGAGCTTAGCATAAAGATAACATATTTATAAGATATTATAATTATTATAATATTATTGTATGTTATATAGATATATGTTACATATTACCAGAATTGGAAGAAAAGTAGTTAAAATCTCATGTATTATTCATTTAAGAAAATGAAAACTGGAACTAATTTGAGCCAAATTTTAAACTTTGTCCATAAGATTAATCAGTGATATAATGTAAAACTGAAATGTGGAACTGAATGTTCTGTTTGGATATGTTTTACCCTATGACTGTGACCATTGCTGTCCTTTTCTGTGGCCAGTTTTAGTGAGGGCACCATGTTTGGTCTCTCCAGAAACACTGAATGTGTAGTCTCCCTGCAAGAGAAATAAAAGCCTAGCTAGAGTTACATTGTAAGGTCATTTAACTCAACAGTGCCATTTTTTGATGATCTGTCCCATTAGGTGCTGGGCTTTTGAGTTTGAATTGTAGCTCTCCTCTTTACTTACTTTGTGGAAACATGCAGGTCATCTGAACTTTCCCCAGGATGCTTGGTGATAATAATTCTACAAATACTTAATAAAAATGTGCTTGAAACCACCTGCATATATATATATATATATACACATATATATATATATATATATTTGGACATAGTGAATGCTAATCCCTTTTCCTGGTATATTAACTTTGACCTGGCACTGTGCCATGCCATCCATTCCCCAGCTATTTTGTCTCAGAGTGGTTATATTTAATAATAACATTTATTGATTGCTTATGTGTTATGCTGAGTATATGAATTACCATATTTTCACAGTGACCTTATAGCTGAGAAAGTTGAGGTTCACAAAAATTAATTGAGTGACCTAGGGTTACTTGCTAGTTAGTGGTGCAGCTGAAAGTTAAACTCAGGCCAGAGTGATAGCTCACACAGCCTCTTTGGCATCTGGCCTGGTGATATCTCTGTTATTTCTAGTGGGCTGAAATATAAACATTACCATCTCTACCCACTACATTGGCTTAAAAGGTCCTATGCCAATATAAGCATTTTCATTTCTTGCCTTGAGGAGCTACAGACCACATTGATCTGCTTGAAGAAAAATTGCTTTTAGGACTTGGCTGCTATGTGGCTGTTGAAAGATAATGGTGAGTTAGCTCTGGAGTCTTGCCACTTGTTATAGGGTTAGAGGAAGGCATGTGTAAGGGTAAGGTTCATTTGGAAGTGAGTCAGGAGGTAGATTTAGGAAGAAAAAGGTAGTTAAAGGAAGGGAGCAAGGCAAGGGAATATGAAATGAGAACTAGATGGGCTATCTTCAACAATTGAATGACAGGCCCTGCATACTTGGCTCATTCCTTCCCTTTATAAAATAAGACCCCAATCTAGCTGTTTTACATTACTCATCTATCAAGAACACCAGATAATGTGTAACTAAATCTGGATATGTCTGCTCACATCTCTCCTTCAGAGTGCCTTTTTTCATATTAATTACATTTCTTCAGAGCCAAGGAAGCTCTACTGTTGTGGTAATCCAAGAAATAGAGCTGTTTCTACAGTCTAGAATTGTTAGTTTAATTTAAATGTCCATGTAGGATTCTACAGGGCTTAGCCAATGAATCGTAGGAGTCTGCAGTATTTCTATACATTCAATTATTTCCCTTTCAGTATAAAATTAGTACTAATGAGTCAAGGGTAGGTGTGAGCTAGGATATTATTTTAATTAAAAAATATTTCTAAGAAATACAAGTATATTAAATTGCTGTTTTCATTTTACACTGAAGCTGATAGTGTCTTTAGAAGAAGTACTTTAGTGAATACAAGAATGATTGTTCATTAGTTATAAACATATTGATGCTTCTGGGAAAATTATGACTATTTAAAAACGCAATATTATCTTTGTCATCTTTTCTGTGTTTTGCTTAAAGCAAAATAAAATTAGCCAATCTGAGGCTGAAGTAGTATTCTACACTATCACAACTTCCAAATTAAGTATCAGTGTTTGAAGTTTTATTATATCTCTCCATATTGTTATATTTAAATATTAGTCAGCTTTGTAATAGTAAGAAGTGTCTGGTTGTGTATTAAGTGGGATAAAAAATACGGACATGCACATTGAGTTTTAGCGCTTAAATGGCCAAATCAAGTCTAATATCTTTATTTTGCATGTGAAGACACTTAAGATCTAGACAGAGTATGCTTTTCCAAAAGGCATATAACTTTTTAGAGGCAGAGCAGAAACTAGAAACTTGGTCTTCTAATTAGCAATCACATCCAAAATTGTTCAGCCTAGGAAAGGCAAGACAGGTCTCACGCATGACTTGTCTCTAAGTATATGGAAGGGTGCCCTCCCATCTCTCTCCAATGATAAAAGTTGTTTTTTTTATATTAATAGTTAAAAATAACTGTCTTCCAGGGACCAACCAGAAAGATGAGGTTAACCTTGGTCGAAGGTTAACAATTAGTGTCATGGGTCCTGAAGATTTTCAGAGAAAATAAATAAACTGGATAATTTAGATGATAAAAGACTTGATCAAATGTTGTTTTAAGACCCTTTTTTATATTATTTTCTGCAGTTTAATGAGTTCTAAGGATTAAAATATGGTAATGGAAGTACTAATACTATAATTAAATGTCTTACTGTAATTTCCATTTAGAACAGGGACTGTTACTGCTACTAGAAAAATAAGTCCAGATAAATTATTTTAACCTTATCATTTGTGCACATACCTGTAGAAGAGCATCATCTATTTTCCTTTCATATATCTGGATAGAAAAGAGTTCCAGTTTGTCAGTTTGTTTAAAGACTAATAAACTTTTTTTTTTAACCTAGCCTTGGCAAATGCAACATTATGTATTCTTGAACCTATTATGTCTGTGGAAGTTATAGCCCCAAATGAATTTCAGGGACCAGTAATTGCGGGAATTAACCGACGACATGGGGTAATCACGGGGCAAGATGGAGTTGAAGACTATTTTACACTGTATGCAGATGTAAGTACTATTGGTCATTGACAATCTTGCTTTTATTAACCACAGAAGGAAATCAGAATTAGCTTTTGTTTTTGCAGATTGTAGAGCAAATTGACACATTTCCCTGTTGAATTTGTGGCTTATATATGTGTGGCAATTTCTGTAATTTGCTGTTAGAGCAATGCAAGTGTGAAAGCTAAAAATGAGATTCATTTTATCTTGTCATTTTCTTAGATGTATAGTTATGTTTCTTACTCATTTTAGCTTTATTTGCATAGCAGCTTTTTATTATGTGATCTCTAATTTATTGGGGTAATATTTAATTTCTTTGCCTGTACTTTTCTTGACTTAAATCTCAGGGGAGAAGGTGTTTATCATATCACATATAAGGCCTACTGGAAGATACTACCAAAGCACATCAGTAATGTGTCCAAAGGAAAGTTTTATTTTATTTATTTATTTATTTATTTGAGACAGAGTTTCACTTTGTCGCCCAGCCTAGCTCACAGCAACCTCAAACTCCTGGGCTCAAGCAATCCTACTGCCTCAGCCTCCCAAGTAGCTGGGACTACAGGCATGCACCACCATGCCCGGCTAATTTTTTGTATATAATTAGTTGGCCCATTAATTTCTTTCTATTTATAGTAGAGACAGGGTCTCGCTCTTGCTCAGGCTGGTTTCGAACTCCTGACCTGGAGCAATCCACCCGCCTTGGCCTCCTAGAGTGCTAGGATTACAGGCGTGAGCCACCATGCCCGGCCAGGAAAGTTTTATTAACATTTTCATAGAAGAAACGCTTTTGAATGCTTGAGCTGGGGCCAGAGAGCAGGGTGGAGATGAGGAAGTAAGGCCATCAGTGATGGTCTCTTTGTAAAATTAAAGATTTGGTTTCTAGTTGCAACTGTCAAATGAAATAATTTTCAAATAGGGTTTCCTCACTGAAATGAAACAAAACATTTCTCTTTGGCTTTTCATCCTTTTAAACCAAGAATATTGAGTAGAAACCTAAATCTAGAGGAATTAAATGACTAAGATGTCTATGTATTTTTTTCAAATTTTTTCAATAAGCAATGCTCAAATATCTATTGTGTTTGTTTTTAGGTCCCTCTAAATGATATGTTTGGTTATTCTACTGAACTTAGGTCATGCACAGAGGTAAGCCAGTATTTAAGTATTAATTATTACAGTGCACTTCAAAAGACCACTTATAAAACGATCAAATTTGTGAAATCCTGACTTTTCATGACTTGATAGTTACAAAACAAATTCTTTTTTTTCTTTTAACTCCTAGGGAAAGGGAGAATACACAATGGAGTATTGCAGATACCAGCCATGTTTACCATCCACACAAGAAGATCTCATTAATAAGTATTTGGAAGCTACGGGTCAACTTCCTGTAAAAAAAGGAAAAGCCAAGAACTAACTTTCCTCACTTTGAGTTAACTAACTTTAACTGAATCTGCAAGGTTTAGGTACTTTGATGGATTCCAGTAGAATAAATTCAGCCTGCTAAAACAAATTTTAGAAGCCCTTCCTGTTCACATTCAGGAGCTTCTATTATATTCAAAGATAATTCTATATGTATAGCTCAACTCTATTGATTGGTTTTATAGTTCATTGAAGAACCTCAAATAAACTATGATTATTACTGAAATATATTTAATATTTATTTAAGCGGGAGGAGACTAATTTCATTTAGACTTCTGATGTATATAAACTTCCTTTTCAGATTTTTTATTATGAGATTTTTCAACATACAGAAAAGCTGAAAAAACAGTATAAGAATATTCATATACCTTCCATCTAGATTCAATAATGAACAACTTTGTTAATAATTTATCCTGTAATTTGTTTTGTCATATTTACTTGTTTGCCTATGTCTATGTCTCATATTTAAAACAATTTTGCAAATTATTTGTAGACTTGAAAGTGAATTGTGTACATCATGACACTTCTTGGAGTGTGATTAATGGGCAGGCTTTGCTGTTTAAGAGTGGATTCCATATGATCTTAATAGCAGTTTTCAGATTCTTCATTAGGATATTAAAATATTAGCTAAATTTTCATCTTTTATATATGGCTGATTGCTTCAATATGTGGCTTTTGCAAGTTTGTAACTGCCTCTGTTTTAGGAGTATAAATATTGCTTTCTTGCAGTCCTTTATGAAGTTAAAAAGGGACACTTGCATATGCTATTCTTATGTTCATCTTAATGTTTCTGCAACCCTAAATAATAAAATATAATTTATAGAGCTGTGGCCCAGTTAGTTTCAGTCACTTAGTAAAGGATGGTCGAATTTTAGTCTATTGGAATTTATCATATATTGATTGAGATTGTGAAAAAACAAAGGTTAAGCTTTTATTTCCAGAGTGATTTGGGCTTTCCCTGATAGTTCTATCAGAATTGCTTTATCCAAAAATCATTTTATGCCATAGATATATCCTAGTCCTTCTCATTACTGAAGAATAGAAATAAAATAATTGCTATAAAATTTTTTTGGCTTTCTTGATTTATAGATTTGGCTTTATAAGTTAAGGTTTCCAGGGGGAAGAAGTTTTTTAAAAGTATTAAGAACATGTTTTCAAGACATTTGCCAAATCCTTTAAATATATATTATTTCTCATAACCCTGTGAGAATAAATACAATAATATGCCCATTTTGTAATAGAGGAAGTAAAGGCCCAGAGAGGATAAATTAAACTTAAGCTATGACTGTCTTTTCTAAGACCACACATCTTAAGTTTTCAAATTGGTACTTTCAGTTATGATTATTCACCAAGTACATTTCCCCTATGAATGTCTATTGCTACAATAGCATCAAGCCTGAAAAATGTAGTGGTTATAACATGGCATCAGTATCTTTTGCCATTCACAATAAATTTGAATACTGTTCCTAATGAGGAAATACATTGTGTGTACCTTCATTGAATTTTAGCATCATTCCTCTGGCTATTAAGAATGGTCAGAAATACTGGAACTAAGATGAATAAATTTGGACTTGTTTTTAATTAGTTAAACATTCTGGTTATAAAGTTATAGTATCAGAAAAGGTCCTAGATATCTATTCAAACATGAGCATTTCATAGGTAATGATGAGGCTACCTATGAAATGTTGGTGGGACTAACTAGAGTAGGATCACATATGGACAAATCCAGGACTAGAACCCACATCTCTTGCTAGCTCATTAGTATAGTCACAGTTGGTAAAGACCGCATACAAACCAAAGTCTGTAACATGGAAAAAATTAATGAGAATATTTATAAATGAGGATTTTTTTATATTATTGTGAAGGATAATTTTTGACTAATTTACAGAAAGACAGTATTGTGTACTTGTTTTGGAGAATAGTAGCAGCACTAGGTAATATTGCTCTGATGTTCAACCATTGCTGCACTTTAAAAATCACTTGAGGAGCTTTAGAAAGTAATACCTAGGCCCACCCTCAGATATTCAGATCCTTTGGATGGATCAAGGTAAGTTTTTCAGATGATTCTGATATGCAGTCAAAGTTAAAGACCACTTAAGTATTGTCTATTACTTAGGCCCAAGGCATGAAATGAAAGATTATTGAAATTCAGATGTGTCATATTATTAATATTCTTTTGTGTGATATCAAAGTTTGGGCTATTGGTTCTTCATTTGATACCTTTACATTTTTTTTAAAGAGACGGAGTCTTGTTATGTGGCTCTGGCTGGTCTCGAGCTCCTAGGCTGAAGCAATCTTTTGCCTTAGCCTCTGGGATAGCTGGGACTACTGGTGCATGTAGCTACCATGCCTGCCTTGGTAAGTATCTTTAAAAAAAAAATAGTCAATTTTTCTGTTTTCTGTTATTCTTTTCCTCTCTGCTCACTCTTAGATTGTGTGGTTTATTAAAATCACTATAATTTAATCAAGTCTGAAGTTTAGCATTTTTCATATTCTATATGAGTCTTAAAATTGGCAGCCACCTAGTAGACGTAAATTGTAACATGTTGGAATGTATCCCTTTGTAGAAGATAGCTATTTGCATTGCTAATTGCAACTATATATGGTTGAATTGGAGCTCTAATTGCTGCTTTCACATAAATAACAAGTTAATGCATCATTGAAATAAGTTAATTGTAACTTAGTTATCCATTCAGATAAATCCAGGCAACATGTTAGGTGATTGTAGTACTTAGAAAGTTGGGAAAAGTCACAGAGCAGGTTAGAATTTTCTAAGCTAAGAGAGATTGGTGTAAAAACTAAGATGGAATGAAGGACTAAAATTCAAGTGCAAATATAGACACTTCCAACTGACTTTCAAAAGAACTTAGTTTAACTTCTAACAATTCATAATTTAGGTAGGGAAAAAATGAAACTGAGTAGAATAAAATAGAATACAGACAAAATCCTTGGTATTATTTTGTATGTCTTAAAATTCTGAAAGTTATAAAGAGGTTATGAAAATGATTATGATTCCATATATAATTGTCATTGTCTCAGAGTGATTCAAAAGATCTTAGACTCTTAATGAAAAGAAGGCTTAGGGAATTTAGAGTTTTTTATTTTATGCTAAGGTACATGAAGTAATTTTTCTGTTGTTAGGTAGTGAAACCAATGTTAGTAAAATCAACTCAGCAATTTTAGAGTTTGTGCTAGAAAGGATGTTCTTGTGATATTGGGAAATTTTTATTTGCTGTAACTTTTATGGGTTTTATAAATTTATAAATTAGGTAATTGTATTTGTATACAATTTTTTTTTGTATATATAGAATTCCACTTCATAATCTCTTACACTGAAATAGATCTGTTAAAGGATTACTTTAGAATCCTTACCTGGTTTAATTAACCACTTCGGTATGGCACTCACTGGCCGCGAAACCTTGCCCATAGCCGGCACTCATAGTCCGCACGATAGTTTGTGCTGTGCATTGACGATGACGAATCCGTTTTGCTCTTGTGTGATGAGGAAAGCTTTAAAGCACTGAAAGCTTATTTTACTTTACAGGAAGCTTTAGCAAAATAACTATAATAACTCCTACTAAGGACTTGTTAAAAGGTCACAGATTCGTAGTAACTTATTAGCTGAATGCACACACTGCAACTGCAGAGATAAAAGCTGTAAAAGTAAAAGCTTTTGGCTAAAGTCAACGCTTGGCTGTGCGCGTTCATCTGTGGCTATCGACTATAGTCGAAGCATGTACCGAAGTGATTAAGGTCACATTTGTGAGCCTAATCTCACTAATGAAAAATGCCTTTATGAAGATGAAGACTTAAAGCTAAGACTCTAGAAAGCTGAAATACCAAGTAAAGGCTCCTTTTTAATCCTTAATGTGATATGAAAAGATTGATTAAAGATCACAGGACATTGAATATGCTATTATACTGCTCTTAGGCCCTTTTTTGGAAGATCACTTAGGGAACTTCAGTTAGAGGAGCGCACTGCTTAATTCTGGCGTGATTTAATCATTGTAGATTGTTTCCTTTAAATGATTATTTGCATTGCTTCAGAATACAGACAACTCTTTAAATCAAGTGGATGTTGAGAAGATAAATGCAAAGGGTAGCGTTTTAAATAGAAAAATATATAACTAGAGCTGCTTATTTTTATTTTGTATGAATCCATGCTTTAAAAATTTTTCTCTTTAGTATAAACTTTTCTAATTATCTAATAGTACAGGCTTAAAAGTAATATTTTTATATATTTTAAGGCTGATGCTTCCTAATCAATTACTGGTCATGGAACCTGGCTAAAGGTTTTTAGACTCTGATACAAGTATTCCATTAAGTGATACTAATTTTGAGAGGCAGATGATGGCAACATTTCCTGGATCAGTTTTTCCTGCCTTGAGGTACTCCACTGAATTTGGTTATGGCACATACTGTGTTTGCTTTTATAAATTACTTAGGCCAACACTGGGTCCAAATTGTCCTTATAAATGAAAATTGTAAATACTTAATATACTTTCAGTTACATCAGTGTTCCTTTTAACATGTGTTTGCGGGCAGCTTTATCTAGTGAGATATGCTCTATTGTAAAATTTTTGAATTAAACAGTATTAAAATTTCATTTAATTCCAGTTTAGCACCACAAATTTTTCCCATGTATACAGATTTCTACAAACATGTTTAACACATTTTATTATTTAGAAATGTAAGCATTTATTTAAAAGACATCAACTTAAAAAGGAATACTTGCTTGAAATCATAGAATATAGCAAAATTCTTTTACATAGTTAATATTTTTCCTACAATTTACTTTCATTGGAAATATATTATCTTTGTTTACATACTCAGTAGAAGCAACTTAGCAACATAAAATAACCACAATATGTTCAAAATATGAGAAATATACGTTCAAAGATGAGACCATCATTTTTTGCTGTTTTTTTAAATACTTATTGATCCAGTTAAAGCATTGCTAATTGACTGGATTTTACATTTTAGGGCTGAAACCTTGGGGAAACTGCTGGTGACTGTTTAGTACTGAGCAGAGCTTGGTATGCATGTGCTCCCACAGTTAAAAACTAAAGCAGACTAACTGTAAAACAAACAAAAAACCCAACATCTTTTAATTTTGTAGTATTTACTTGTCATAGGCTTTCCCAAGTTATTAGAATGCCTATAACTTAGCTGTTTTAGTAAAATAATGATTTAGTCTAGCACAGTGATTTTGTTTAGAATTTAGTATAAGCAGATCACTTTTTCTTTTTAGAAATGATTAAGCTCTGTAGGTGCCACAGCCTATCCTGCTTCAGTTCCAGAGGCTTCTTCTGGTGTCTGTAGCTCTTGACAGTGGTACTTCACTTTAAGTGGTTTGCCAGGGTACCAGACCAAGTGAATACGACAAGGAATTATTTCCTAGGAAATAAGAGTTATAAAATATTATAATCTGCAAAAACTTCTGGTAAAAAAAATTCTAAGTACAATTAATTGTATTTTACCTGTGTTGAGAATTCATGAAGTAGAACGGTATAATCAAAATCGATTTCATCATCAGTTTTCTGGAGGAAGAAAAATGTATAATATATACAGTGAGTTAATAGTAGCTTATTATATTGGAAGGCTTATGTCATATACATTCTTGTTTCAGATGGATACCTTGACTCTTGCTGCCTTTTAGATTTCAGCCTCACTTTCTTTGGTAGTATTCTGCATCAAGATATAGAAGTAATGGATCCTTATTTTTGTCTTGTCACTGAGTTATATGAAAGTCTGGTTGAATGTCTATCACTTTTTCTCTTTAATATTTACGGTTTTTGATGGAGGCCAAAGTCTGTGGGGATAGGTAGAATCTTTTAACAGCCTTAGAGATCTAGATACTATACATGTACCTTAAGCTGATATGATAGCCCTTATATATTAATACCAGGCAATAAGAAAAGGGGAAGGGCAACCAGTATGTCTACAATACCTACCACTGGCCAGGTTCTGTTAGGCACTTTATACATATTCTCATGTAATTCTGACTATCTTAGAATAGTATGTAGTATAATTCTGGTTTTACAGTAGAGGTAACTTGAGGTTACAGCTTGTAACAAATAGGAATTCACACCCAGATCTGTTGACTCCGACACCTACATTCTTACTTATATACTATATGAAGCTGTGCCAGACTGTTGCTAAAACCAGTACATTGTATATATTTTGGTAGGCAGTCATCTTCACCTCTTTTATTCATTTGATTTCTATAAATTTTAGTAGTGACTAAACCAATTTCCTATTTTCTTTTTGACATTTCTTTTTTTTTTTTTTTTAAGTATGTATCTGTTTACTGGAAGAGGGGAAATTTTTTCAAAAGCCTCAATTTGGATTATGATTTTAGTTTTCTCCTATCAGGTTTTTATTAAGACTACTAAGGAATATGAACAGGCCAAAAAAAAAGTACTTGATATAGATGGAGATTTTTTACAAGCCATGAAATTTCCATTAGGTGATTAGGATCCTGAAGGGAGAACATACAAGAAAGGGCCTAGATAAGTCAGAAATTGACTGCTTTTTCTATTATATCTTCTTTGCATGATTGGGTAGGTTTCCCTCCTGCCTCGTAGTATACCCATGAATGCTCAAAGCAAATGTCCGAGGTATAAGCTGCAAAGTGAGAGCATTCTTGAGAGAAAATTCAGTGTCTCTTAAGAGACTAGTTACTGAAGGTTCCAATGATCAGTCTGGCATTGTTGGTTTGGGGAGTGTATTTAGCTTTGTTTGATCGTCATTTGGTGACTATCTTTATCTTGGAAAGAAATGGTAATCTATCCCAAGATGTTTGTTCCATACCAGCTGGCTGCTTAGTCCTGTGATTATTATCTCAGACTTCTGTACTATCTGCACTATTTTTCAAACTCCTAGCCTCAAGCAATCTTTCTGCCTTTGCCTCCCAAAGTGCTAGGATTATAGGAGTGGCCTATCTGCACTATTTCTCAAAGCCTGACTGATTACCATGTATTTTATAATTTAAAACTTGGTTTTACTTTTAAACTTAAATTAAAAAAAAAAAAAACCAACAATGCCTTCTTACTCTGTTTTTGAAGACAGCATTTCTTAAGGAAATAATGGCAGTCTCCAGATTTGAGTCAAAAAAAGAGGCAGAACTTAAAACAAATGATGAGATGACTCCAACTCCACTTGACAAACTATTTTTGCTAAAAATACAGTGTTAACTCATTTTTTGAATACAAAAATTTGAATCATGATAATACTTGGAAACTCTATCATTTGATTAAGAACTTCCTCATTTAAGTTATTAAAACACACCCTTACATTTCTGTTTTTATAGATTCTTTCTCCTCTTAGAGGAAGCACCCTTAAACCAAACCAAAAAACAACAGCTTATTAAAGAACTGCAGAAGAGGACCTTGCACATCCCAGCCTGGCAAAATATTCCAGGATTGGACTGCCCCCAACCAAGTCAAGCTCTGCCATGAAGTCATTATTTTTAATATTCAGAAATAATCTTTTTGGCTTCTGTTCAAATCATCATGAATGTCAAATCCTTATAGTCTAAACAGATGATGATATAGTGTTACATTTTCTGGTATCTCAGCATTTCAATCTTCCTGGAAACAGACTAGAAGTGGATTTTTTTGAGATAGAGTCTTGCTCTGTCATATGGACTAGAGTGCCATGGCATCAGCCTAACTCACAGCAACCTCAAACTCCTGGGCTCAAATGATCCTCCTGCCTCAAGGTAGCTGGGACTATAGACACACAACCATGCCTGGCTAATTTTTTTTCTATTTTTAGTAGGGATGGGGTCTCGCTCTTGCTCAGATTGGTCTCAAACTCCTGACCACTCACCTCAGCTCCCCAGAGTGCTAGGATTATAGGCGTGAGCCACTGCGCCTGGCCTGGAAATGTTTTGTTTGTTCCCTTAAACATATTCATGACCCACCTTACTTCACACCCCTCCACACCACCCAAAAAAAGAGAATGATCCCTAACAGAACTGTTGTGGTTTTAGTAGAGTAAGTAGGCTTGCGTTACTAATATAAGCTACCAAAAACAGATTTCATAGCATGACAGGGTAGATGAGATGGTTTCTATAATGTATTATACCTTTGGCTAAAGGAGACTTCTAGTTAGGGTAAAGATGAGCTGATAGATGGTGACACACTGCAAGCTAGATATTTGGAGTGCTTACAAAAACCTGGTACTGATAAGAGTTGGAACAATACTCAGTTTTACTTTTCTCAATTCATATGAAAGGCTAAAGGTGTAGGGAAAGTCATCCATTTCTTATTTCCTAGCCAACATATCTCTCTTGTCCTTGGCATAGTGCTCATGGTATTGGGAATGACATCTATTCTTTAGTTCTAAAGAAATAATTACGCCAGTAAGATGGGTCTTATTTTATATGTGTATTTTAGTCCTTTTTTTCCTTTGTCCACTCTTATCTCAGGCCTTGCTCATATAGAGCTGTGAGTTTATAAACTTGTACTTCCTTACACAATTGCATTAAAAGGTAAGTTTAACCCTGAGTGTAAAGATAGTAATTCCCACTCAAAGGTTTTGGAAAAATTATAGTCTTCATACTTTTCTGAGCTACCTTCTGCCACAGAGCACCTCCAATCACTTCCTGCCCTTGCGCTGTCTTAGTTTTATGAGCCCTGTTGCTCTGTTACTAGTCTTCCAGAACAGTACTTAGAATTTCTAGTCTTAGTGACTTTTTAAAAATCATTGTTTGTTGCTTTGTTGCTTTTGCAGACGATTAGGGGAATCCTTAGTGGCCACTGAATAGTAGAATTGAAAATCTGCATGAATATTTACATACTTTTCTTTAAGAAAACTCTAAGCTGAAATGTGTATCAACCTAGAAACCAAATTCCCAATTGCTCCAGTAATTTAAATTTATGTTAGTTTCAAGGACTTCAATCAGTTTGTTAGTCTTGTTTAATAGGCCCTAAGAGTCCAGCGATTTGCCCTGGGTGGCCCAGCAAATCATTTTCATATTCAATTATTATTTATCTAAAACCCAAACACCACAGAGTAAAAAAAAAACTAAAACTTTTACTCAATGACCATTCTCCCTCTGCATTTTTATTTTTTTTAACTGTCTAAAAACATATTTTTAACATGTATGTCCCCATTTTCCAACTTGCAGGTTAGTTGAGGAATATTAATGGACAAATGATTGACATCAAAGACTGTCTAGAACGAGAGAGAAATGTGGCTGCTGTTTTTATACCCTAATATTAAAAATGTGTCATATACAGCTGCAAGAGAAAGGAAAACAATGACACTAAAACAATCCTGCTGGGTGTGGTTTGTTACTCGGGAGGCTGAGGCAGGAGGATCACTTGAGGCCAGGAGTTGGATACAAGCCTGGGCAAGACCCCATCTCTAAAAATACGTAAATAAAAATTAGCCTGCTGTATGGTGGCATGTGCCTGTAGTCCCAGATAGCTACTCAGGAGGCTGAGGTGGGAGGGTGGCTTGAACCCAGGATTTTTGAGGCTGCAGTGAGCTGTGATGGCACCATTGCACCCAACCTGGGCAACAGAGGCCATAAAAAAAAAATCTTAATTTTTTTCTGTTATTTCAGCGTGTTGCTCTAGTCCTATTGAGTTTTCCTCTCACATTCATTACAATTAGTTCTAAATTATCTTGACACTATTTTCCACACTTTAAACAAACCTCTCCCCCCAAACTTCTCAAGTAAGGTAAAAGCCTCTTGTTGAGGATATGGTCATCTTGGTAGATAAGAGGGACTGTTAGAAAAAGAGAAAGAAACTTTTATCTAGCAAAAGAACTCTGTTGTATCCTGACTTTTTATATAGCAGCAATCAATTAGATGATGATTTCTATTAAAAAGCATTCTATAAAGGGAAAGAAATATGTTCATTTTATAAGTAAAGAAAAAAGGTTTCTAGTTGAAGTCTGTTTTACCAGTGGCCTTTTGAAGGCACACCAAACTATTATTGGCATTAAAAATGCTGACTTAATGCTGGGTAAATTCCATACTCAGAAGATACTGATATCCATCCATGGGTGAAAATAATCCATGAAGAAAATAATTTTTTAAAATTTGTAGTTTGATTGGTTCAGCTTGCCTCTCAGAGAACTTGATTTTGTTTACTCTGAAAACGCCCCTCTCTCCACACATCATACTTGCCTGACAGAAACTCCCACCCTGGCTAAATCCAGTATGTGTCTATTTCATGCCCACACAACTGAGAATGATTGCTCTGAATTCACATCACAAACCTTCAAGAGGCCTGCAGTGAGTGCCCCATGGTGCCCCCCCAAACCTATATCCGAGCACCTCCTTTCTTGTCCTCTCTCTCAGCTGATGGCTTTGCCCCTTTCACTAAGAAGACAGAAGCAGTTAGAATGGACCTCCCACAAGCTCCCACCCTGATATCTACTCCTACCTGCTTGTCGGCCTCGATTCTCCGCTTTCCCTTCAGGTGAATTCTCTATGTTCCTAAAATCATCTGCATTGATCATATCCTCTCTTGCCTACTGAAAGATATTAACTCCAACAACTTTTTCTCCCTTCCTTGTAATTCCTACTTTGATCCTCTCTGCTGGATTCTTATTAACATATAAACATGCATCCAACTTAAAAATACAACAGGAAAAAACCCTCTTTGAACCCTAAGCTCACCCATTCTACAGCTACAGTCCCCTTGTTTTCTTTTACTCCCCTTTGTAGCTAAGTTTATTGAAAGAGATGGAATGTCCACTTCCTCTCCTCCCATTCTCTCCTGAAGGCTTTTGCCCTCACTGTACCAGTGAGATAGCTCTTAATAGGCTCTCCATTGACTGCCGTTTGCTAAATTGAAATGGTCAATTCTCAGTCCTCATCTTACTTGGACTTCCAGCAGCATTTGATACTGTTAGCCAATCCTTATCCTTGAAACACTTTATTTTTCCATATCTCCATCTTCTACAGTTAGAAGTGTTCCGGGATTCAGTCCTTACATAACTTATTTTCTTTGTCTACACTCATTACCTGTGATCTTATCCAGTCTTGTGGCTTTAAATACCAGCTATATAGTGATAACTCCAGCCCAGACTTCTCCCCTTAACTTCAGACTCTCATGTCCAGATGACTAGCATGCCCCAAATCCAGATAATTTTCTCTCAAATCTGTTCCTGCTGTAGTCTTCTTCAATCAATAAATGAAAACTATCCTTCCAGTTACTCAGGCCAAAATCCCAAGAACCATCTTTATGTCTTCTCATTCTCAGATATCCACATCCAACCCATGAGCAAACACTGTCATCAGTCTATCAGAATCCAGACGCTTCTCGCCATCCCCATTGCTACCGCCCTGGTCCAAGCCACCAACCCAGGCCTAGCCTAGATTATAGCAATATTTTACTGATCTTCCTGCTTATTCCCTTGTCTCTCTGTGGTCGGTTCTCAACATAGCCACAAGAATGATCCTATTGTAAGTCAGATCATGCCACTCCTCTGCTACGGTAGGTAAGAGAGAAAGATAAGACCCTTCTCGTGGCTTGCCATGCCTTAGGTGAACTGATCCTCTCCACTTGCCCTCTACTTGATCTCGTCTCCTGGCACATTCCCCTTGCTCACTCTGTCCCAGCCACACTGGCCTCACTGCTGTTTCTCCCACCCTTCAGCCACATTGCTGCCCCAGTTCTCTCTGCCTGATATACTCCTCCCTTATAGGAGTAGGGCTCACTCTCACTTGCCTTTGGCCTCTGCCTCAATGTCACCTCTGCTCAAATTAGCCTTACTTCAGACTATGTAAATAGCAATTCTATCAACACCTTGCATTCTCTTTTCCATACATTATTTTTTCGTAGCACTTACCATCATTTGATACATATACTTGCTTATTAATTCACTGTTTCTTATCTTCTCTCACTAGAATTACTCTCAATGAGGGCAGCAACATTGTATTTTTTATTCACCGCTATTTCCCCAGTCTCTAAAAATCATACTTGGCCCATTGCAGGCACTCAAATATTTGCTGAATGAATGAAATGTGGTTAACTCTTGCCATGAAATTGGAAATACACATTAATTCAGTCTAAGAACACTGCCTTGGTTGTTTCTCTTGTGGTGCAAGTTAATTTTCAGTTTTTCTTACCCATTGCTTCACACTAGTGAGCTGTGCCAAGTAGTAGTGTAAAAACTGGGTTGTCTTTTCCCACATCACATAAGAGCTGCCAAGAAAAGCCAAATCCCAGATGGGTCTTAGAGAGGGATCAATATGTCCATGACTATCTGAAAGGGAGAGGAAAAAAAGCACATTTGTTAACACAAATACCAGATAAAATTTCAGAAGTTTCAGTAATGAAATAGGAATCAAACCTCATCATATCAGTTATCTCTCTTGCAGCAAGACCTTGAACCAGACATGTGATTCATTTGTATCTATTTCTATGTTAGTATGGAGATTTATATGTTTCATTCAACTTGCTGCTCTGAATAAATCTATTATAAAACAATGTAATGAGTATTTGTTGTACTATATACATGCAAAGTAAGAGTTATAATGATATTTAAAGTTAATCTAAAGTCTTATCAGTTGAGAAGTATTTTTAATTAGGTTGAAAAATCTGTCAGTGATCTCCACATTACCTTTTGGTCTGCAGTGAATGTGATGGTCTTCACTTCCTAATCTGCCAACATGTCTTTGCCCTTCTCTGATCATTGGTTTTAAAGCTAGTCAATGTGTTGGCAGCATCTCTGTTACTTTTTTTGAACACATGAAGAGATTGGGTGGATTTTTCTTGTGGCATTGTTTTTGGATCTTATATCTCTTTAATTCAGCAAACTTTTTTTTTAAAAAACCTACCTACTTAATATCAGACACTACTAAAAATAGGGATACAATGACTAATAAATTATCTTTTATGATTTTAGGAACTCAAATTTTACTGAGTGATTAATTTATGAGATAATTGTACATGGACCATCATTTTCTGCAATTTTTTTTTTCTTTTTTTTTTTTTTTTTTTTTTCGTCCCAATGAGCAAGTTGCAATTTTCTGCAATTTTTGCATAGTCTATATTAAGGCCCAGTAATAGCACAATACCATACATGAGGAATACTAACAAGCTTCTTGGTAAAATCTTTAGCATAAATTCTATTCTGTATTGATAGAACTTGACTGGTTTATACTAGTGGGCAATTCAAAGAGCATTAATTAATTGCCTTGTGCTGTGGAGGATACAAAGATGGACAACCCCCCCCCCCATGTTCAACAGTATAGAGATACAGCTGACATGTTGCTTAAGAGGGGAGGATCAGGGAACTGAGGGAGAACAGAGGAGGGAGAGGTTTCTTTGGGCTGGAGGGGTTTGGGAAAGCTTCATATAGATGAGATTTTTGCTGGGCCTTGAATTCATCTCATGTCTGTGGGGGTGGGAGTGGGGGCATGAGTGAGAGATTGAGCACACAAAGATAGGAAGGCACTGGGTAGGTTCAGGCTCAGTGACTGGTCTTGAAAGGATATAAAATATGTTGGCACCAGACTTCATGGCCTTGTATGCAGTGCCAGGGTGAGTATGGACTTTGATTCAGTATTAAGTGTGGGAAGATGACTCTAGCTGCTGGTGCAAAACAGATGGAAGGAGGAGACTGAGATCTGAAAGACTGGATGGCAGGCTATTGCAGCAGTCTCAGGGAGGGAGAGTAGCACAGGAATGAAGGGTGGTGGCAGTGGGTTCAGAGAAGATGAAATGGGTCCACTGAAGATACTTCATGGACATAGGCTTGATAGGAAATGGCAAGTTATTAAATGTTAGGATTTGAGTTCACAGTGACCAAAATTTCTAACCAGCTTTAGAAGAATAGTAATACTATTAAATAAATGAAGTCCAGAATGTGGAAAACTTTGGGATGAAAACAAATTGAGTTTGGGATCAAATGTATTAAATGCAGTGTCAAGAAAGCCACAGGGGTAGATGATGTGAAGTGCTACAGAGCAGGAAGGATGAGCAGCAAGAAAGACCATTAGGTTGGGTGATCTGGGTGGTCCCTATGACTCGAGATACAGCAGTTTTACTTAAGTACATAGAGTAGAAGCCAAATAGGAAGAGGTTGAGGATGAGGCAATGTGTATAGAATCTACTTTTGAAGAGCAGACATTATAAGGAAGAAGATGGGATGATGGTTCTATGAATTGGTCAACAGAACTCTGATCTTGACTGTCTTTACAGGCCAAGAGAAGGAACTGGTTGAAAGAAGCTTTCAAAGATGGGAAGGATACTGACAGGGCAAAATTATGGAAGAAGTCAGAGAAACTAGAATCAAGGATATAAATAAAAAATGAGTCTTAGAATCAAGGAGAGAGTTGGGGAAGATATAGAGGTTTCTTGAGAAGGAAAGAAATTGCAGAATGAAATGTCTCAATCTCAGTAAAGCCGGAAACAAGACGATCCCTGAAAGTGCATGACGCCAGGGTGTGATCTGGGTCTTGAAGAAGTGAAATAGCTTTAACACGGACATCATGTAGAGTACACTAAAACATTTAGGAAAGAATAATGAGCAGCATTAAGGTCCCAGCACTTGGAGAATTTTGTTTTAGAAGAAAAAACCTGTCAAGAATAAAGCAAAAAAGTATTTGTTTTCCTGCACTGTTACGTGGTTCATCAAGTTATTTTTGGTTCCATAATGCTTTTCTGTTAATTAATATCCAAGTGCTTTCAAATGTAGAATTGAGCAATTTTAGTACTCTTCATTGTCTTTATGTCACTTCTTCGACCTGGTAATTTCATTTTTCTAACCAACAGGGAATTGTGATTGTTTTTATAGATATTATTGTAGAAAGCATGCGTCAGACATCTACTTCCCGACAAGAATATCAGCATTTTAAGGATGAATTTGTTGTTCCTCCCTGGTATGAGCAGCTGAACCATAAGGATTTCAGAACATTATGTAATGCAGGACTCTGAATTCAACATCTTGACATAAACTCTTTTCTTGTTATACTGTTGAGAGGTTTCCCACCATTTCTACCTTCATTGACTGAAAACTTCCTTCCTCCAACTCATTGTCATGTGTTTCCTCTTACAGTGCTGTGCTATGAGTTTAGATTTGTGAGATCAAAACCCGTTACCCTAGAAGACAAATGGGCTATGCCAAACACTGAATAGTGAGGGCATTCGAAAGAAGTGCTAGAAGCACTCCTATAGCATTCCTTGGGCAGACAGGATGTTAGCTGATTATTCATAGGTCCTCAGTCTTTTCATCTGTATGTAGTGTATACTTGAGTTCATCCATAGGAAGTTTATGAATTCATTAGAAGAAGTGAAATTTTTACTCATAATAAAAACCAGACTTATTTAGAGGAAAAACAATGTGGAGCAAGGATATTTTGAAATGGATTAGATCTTTTCACTTATCAGTTATACTACAGTAGTCCAATACCTTGGATTGATGAAGTACTAAATAGAATCTGATGAGATTTGAAGTGGTTAAAATTCACTTTATTTAAAACCAGTCTTTTCAGTTTTAAGTAGATAACTTTATATACACAGACAGGCAATAAGCATCATTAAATGTCTCTGCTGAATTTACTGTGACAGCAAAACTTGTGAGGTTTTTTTTTTTTTTGATGAAAAGGTTCCTTCTATTAAAGATTTTTTTTGAAGTTTTGTAGTAGCTACATTTAGTTAGACTGATATAGAATGACCCTTATGGGTATATAGAACTTATTAACTGAACATGATCTAGTTAACCTAAACCATTAAAAGGCGTCCAAAATCTAGTGATCCTTTGGGAAATATTCAAAGAAAAGATCCTGTACAATTTTTAAAATGTGTGTTTTAAGTAGGCTAGGCCAACTAACAAGAAAAAAACCTCTAATTATAGATTTCTAAGGATTAGTCATTACCTCATTTATTTCAAGCAGTACTAAGTATAAACAAATGCTTCTACAACGTGAGATTTCAAATTGTTCCTCATAATTCTTTGGCACAGGATTTGATTCCAGTTGTCAGAGAACTATTGCATGAGAATCATCTAAGGCTTGGAATTTTAGAAAGGCAAGGAACTTTATTCCACTTCCAGGTTTTTAAGAACACTTGGTCTCAAATTGATGGAGGATAGAGACACTCAGATTGGAGAGCACAGGTTCTCTGGTGTTGACATGGCATCGCCACGTACCTGGGCGAATGAGTGAAGTGTGAGAGAGTGTGGGGTGAGCAGTGCTGTGGTGGTCAGATGTCAAGCTTAATATCCAAGTGCAAGTCCAGAGATGACTTTTGTGGTTTCGAAAATTGGATTTTCTGGTAAATGTGCTTAGTCTCAACTGCTGCCCACACACTGATCAGTGCCAGAGAAAATGAGCTCACTTTGGCTGAGTCACTTCAGAGGGCAGGGCTCATTTCTTAGAGACGCCACCACTGCCCATTAGCCGTTGACCTGAAATAAGATCAACACAGCTCCACTGCAACCCAGACGGGCCCAAGGCGGTCAGCTCCCCCATCCCTGGTGTATAAGGCTGTGATGGGCAGAGTGGAGGATGTCTCATTGTCTAAAGTTTCCAAAGCCACCACCAAAAATAGAAATGTCATCACAAGCTCTGCACTCAACCCTGAAAACTGTACCCTTATGTGCATGTCCCATTGCGAAGATCTCTTTACTTCTTACTTGGAGGTTCAGCTCTTGTGCTCCTCATTCTGGGGTGGGAAACCGGGAGATTAAAGGGACACAGATAGCTTTTGTTGACATTACTATATGGTACTAGAAATGAAGAACAAGAAAATGATCCGAGTTTTGTTTGCATACCACAACCTATAGTTGAATTAAAGTGCCACTATAGGGATAAATATTCATTCTTTTCAGATTTAGTAATTACATACATTCCTGAAGGTAGAAATTCCAGATACTGATTCATACCAGGTATGCTGACTACATCCAAGGGGGTTTTGAGTTGCTTCATTTGCTTGTAAAGCAGGTAATCCTCTTGCTGTCGTTTCTGTTTCTCAAGGAGCCGCGTACAAGTCACATTAATGGCTGGTCTGGGTTTCTGATTCTTGAAAAACACTCGAGCAGAACATTTCCCCAAGCGTTCCTCACCTTCCTAAAATAAAGATTTTGGAATTAAACAGGATGGTTTCTTATCACCCCTTACCCACCCCAGTGTACACAGTCACTAACAAGATTGAGAAGTGTTCTTTGTTCTTATTCTTTGGTATCAACAGAGGTAGTGGGTTTTGCTTTATAGAAAGTCATTTTGTACTCACAGATGAATATAACGGTCCTTCACTTTTTGCTATCATTTTAAACTCCTGCCTTCTGACCATATCCTTATATAATAAAATGAGGCTGGGCCTATTCCAAAGAAATATCATTGATATCCTTTTAGCACTTCTTGGCTCAAACTTCTAGGATAGTGGAAACTTTACCCTCTAATGTGGACTAACAATGCTTAGTTGGACCTCCAGGTTACTAACTTGAACCAAAAGATGAAGCTAGCTCCTATTAATAAAAATAAGAGTGTCTTCATGCTGCCTTGTGAATTAGATCTTATTTCAATTTTAAAGATTAAGATACTAAAATTTAAAGAGGAACCTACTCTATACCTCACAGTTAGTAAGTGGTAAGCCAGGACTTGAGCTCTTGTCTGTCTGACACCAAAGCCCAGTCTCTCTGTACTACTTCCATCTCTGTCCTCTGAGATCTGATCCAGAAGAGGAAGGCATGCCAAATGGGACTAATTCAACTACGTATGTTTATTTGCATTCATATTGAAATGTATTTATACTGGGTATTGTGAGTTCACCCTCACTTACTTTACAATCCAGAGACATCTGGAGCTTCAAATAGATCTTAGCTGTATGACTCATTCCTAGGATGCCTGGTGATCTTTTGTGTCACAGATTCCTTAAACTGACAATAAAAGTCAGGGAACCTATGCCCAGAAAAACGTACATATACTCATACCTTCAACACTGGGCCTAGAATTTGAGGAAGTTCATGGCCCCACCCAAACCCATCCATGGGCCCCGAGTCAAGAATTCCTGTTGCACTGTGGTCGGTTGAGTAGTTGAGGCAATAACCTTTTCACTTTTGCAGTTGTTTAAACTGGATGGAGTCCCAGTTAAAACAATCATCAAATATAAACTTAGAAAAATCCCACAGGGAAACAAGTTGTAATCAAAATTGGATCTGTTTAATAAGCCTTTTCTAGAACTAAAAAAAACTGAAAGGTGATTTCCAGTGGGCAACTTTTCCATCTGTAAGTGCTAGCTTTAAGTGAGAAGTAATTTCAGTGGCAAATTTATTAGAGTTGCTAATTTTTGATGCAACATAGAAAAAAGGTAAAGGGGTTGGGGGTGATGGCTCACACCCATAATCCTAGCACTTTGGGAGGATTTCTCAGTTTGAGACCAGCCTGGGCAACAAAGTGAGTCCCCATCTCTACAAAAAAAAAACACAAAAAACAATTAGCCAAGTTGGTGGTATGCTCCTATGCTCCTGTAGTCCCAGCTACTTGGGAGGCTGAGGTGTGAGGATCACTTGAGCTCAAGAGTTTGAGGCTGTAGTGAGCTATGATGATGCCACTGCACTCCAGGCCAGGAGACAGAGCAAGACACTGTCTCAAAAAATAAATTAATTAACTAATTAAATAAAATTAAGGTGAAGGGAGCACCAGGAAGATGCATATCAAAAGGCAGAAGGTGACTTGTACAGTCTCCTTTGATGTTGAAGCCATTTCCAAGGAAGAGAAAAAGAACCAGACATTTTCCCTTATTTGTTTTCCTTTCTTTTTTTCCCCCTAAAACAGCCCTATGGAATCAAAGCAGTTGCCTGAAGATATAATAAAAGAACTCTCCTTCACCCTCTGAAATAGAACATTTCAGTTAGCTAGCTGGGCTCTTAATGTATCTACAGATCAAATCCAGGGAAGCATATTGTTGGTCAAAATAATCTATTAATTATTTTCTCTTTAGCTCTAATCTAACACTTTGCAACACTAGAAATCAAAGGCATCTTCCTTATGCTTTAAGAAAAATTTAATTCTTAGCTTAATAAACAAAGAGCATATATTGTTGTCACGTTAGAACTTGTTTCAGAGTACTGGTAAGCATTCTTCTGGAAGCCTGGGATTAAGGGAGTTATGTCTGCACCTCCGAAGCTCTGCCACCCTGAAACACTTTGATCCTGGATGCTGTCTGCCCATCTCAGGCTGCTTCTCAGCACAACACAAAGAGAGCTTGGGTTGGTCTCCTCTCTGCCCATGCACTGGCTGCTGGCCCAGCACTTGGAAGTTCATCTGGCTCTAATTTCTATGCAAGTTTTCTTTTTACTCTCTTCTTGAAAACAGGGGGAAAAAGTTGGCAAGACATAGTCTGCTTGGTCAGGACTGTGATGAGACTAATAATGCCTATGACACATATTGGTAGTGCTCTGTGTTTTACAGAATGCCTTTAGGTACATAAACTCACAGAGCTGGTCTCATGCTATGCTGGCCTGTCAACCAGAAATGTCACCAGCTGACAAGAAAAGGGATAGGTCGGCATTTGAAAGTGAGTCATCCTCAGGATTCTGAGATGCTAGGAGGGATACTAGAGGGAGCTGCGAAATTCTCTCTCAGGGGCCTGTGGAAGGGGCAGATGATGGCTACGTGGATTGTTTCAAATGCAACCCTGCAAATGACCAGGAAGTTGAAGTAGTTAAATCTTGAACTCCTGCTTAGTTCTGATCTTCAATTCTTGAAAACAAATAGAAAACAAAGCAAGGAAAAAACAAAACAAAACCTCCTGGTCACTATATTAAGATTCTCCCTTTGTTTTGAAAAACATTCACAGGAATTGCTAATAGGATACTTCACTAACTGTGGCAGCTTACCTCTGAGTTGTAGCGCTCTGTGCTAAACACCAGGTCAACTTTGCATCCCTCTTTTGGATTAATCTGAAATAGAGAAACTGAATCTTAGTATGGACGCTCCATGAACACCTGCAAATCCAAGAATCGCCCTTTTGGGATAACATGGCATGCAACTGGTAGCTGTTGCATTTATACCTGAATAAAACTGGTGATTTTTTTCTAAGGAAAAGAGATCACAAATTTTGGTCTGATCATGCCATTCTGCTTGTGTGACAAGCAGTGTGACACCTACTCACACAGAGGCAGGTTGAGAAAGAAAACTCATTGTATTCCAGCTGGAAGCCACACTGTAAGAGCCCTGAAGGAGAAATGGACAGGCATGCGCAGGGCACTGGTGTGAATTCCTTCATCTTCAGCTCTTCAGCGCCTCCCCACACCCTGTCCCGGGTGCTGGGCTACATCAGTGAGCAAGACAGGTGTGGGCTCACCACCGTGCCAACCCATGGCCGAAAGGGGGGTGTGGGCAACAAATGCCTAACAAGTAATAAACACCGTGATTTCTAGGGGGGGGCGGGGAGGGGGCCGGAGGGGTGATGGGTAAAGAGACAGCGCACCTGGAACAAGGCACTCTCCACGCTGAGATCTAAAGGACAGGGAGGAAGCAGCCAGGCCCAGACCTGGCCAGGGACATACCCTACAGGCAGAGGGGACCCATGAGTGCGGGCATGAAGGGAACTTCAGTCTGTGACAGGATGAATAATCAGCACTGAAGAAGTCCTCAGATGGTACAGTGTTTCTTTCCTTTGCAGTTTTCACAGACAGGCATACTTCTAAACTTTTGAAATGCATGTTTAGCCTTTTTAAACTGTTGAATTGATTCCAATGCATATTTTTAGAATATACATATCCACATCATTGAATTGTAACTTAAACTGTTTAGAAGAACTTCATATTATTTGCCATCATTTTTTAAAGACAGCAAAAGGATTATTTGGTAAAGAAATATTTTCTAGAGAAGAAAAGGAACTTTCTGTTGTATGGAGTTGAAGTTATTTCACATAGTCTCAATTAAGTTAGACTCTAGAAACATCAATTTCCTTTGAATCTTAGTTCAGGAACATAATGACTTGGTTAAAATAACAGGGTTATTTTATATTTTAAATAGATCAGTCATTGTCTATTCCTATTACAGATTCTTTAAAATTGCTGGGAAACTGGAGAAGGGAGAGGGATAGGATTCCTTGCAGTGATTTATGCAGAGAGTGTTCAACATGTAGATGTGCAGATGTTGCTGGGGAGGGCAGGGGGGCACCCAAGAGCACTGTGTGCAGAGCAGTTTCTCAGGGCTCATCTTCAACCCATCAGTCAAGTTCCGATTCCACTTTACAAAATGCACACACACACACAAGGCTGTCTATTCACTCGTTCACTGTTCATCGGCTACTATGCCAGGCACTGGGGAGATACAAAGAAACGTAACATCCGGTCCAGCCCTTCCAGAAACCTGCTCTAGTGTGGAAAGAGGCTTGTAGTGCAGCTGGTCAGCATGGCTGAGCGCTGCCATGTGCGGGGTGCTGAGTCTAGGGAGGCTTTCTAGAGCGGGGGAGGCGCGAACTCACTCGTTGGGGCGCAGGGCTGGCTTCCAGGGGGACAGTGAGGCTGGAACAAAGGTGGGCTGGGGAGGCTAGTGCAAAAGCATGGAAAGCCTCATTTTTTGTGTGAAGAGACCTTGGAACTTGATCCCAAAGTCTGTGGGAGCCGCATTAAACATAACCACTGAACGTAGGCTGTTGTGAAGGGGAAGAATAGGATAAGGCATAAAAAGGGCTTAGCACAGTGCCTGGGGCAGGGTAAAAGTAAAATGTTCACTATTTTTATTATTGTTAAAATCTATACATATGAGGGATAGGAAGAACTGTGTTAGAAACCAGAGTCTGGCCCAAGTTCAAGGATAGGAAAGATGATGCCATGGACTCCCATCAAGGCTGCTCCTGAAACACCGAATGGTCAGTGAAAGGCTGTAGATGAGACCTGCTCGACAGTGGCTGGACTAGGCTCCCATGGCTGCTGTCTCCAAGACTCCTGAAGTTCAGTGTCTTCACCACCTGCCCATGTTGGAGGAACACAGAACTGCGGCTTGCTGCCCCTAGCCGCACCCACAAACAAGTTAATGCGCACAGAAGGCAACTCCTGTGCTTGCCCCCAGGTTCTCAGCCTTGCAGGGCTTGCTGCCGCAGCCCTGGGCACCCCCCACCCGCATGTGCTCTGCAGGGCTGGGAGTCCACCCGCCCCGCACGCTCCTTAGGGCGTCCTGAGTGCAGCCTCCTAGGCCAGAGTCAGCGACGCCCTCAGCTTTCTCGCTGGGAGGTGGCGAGGGGAGGTGGGGAGGCCATTCATGAGAAGAAAGGAGGAGTTAGACGGGGACATTGGAGATGTGCTGGAGGTTGCCGAGTGTTACATAACCAGGTTCAGCAGAGGTAATGGTTGAGGCCACCGGATTGGACGCAAGCCCCCAGGGAAGATGCGTAGAATGAGAAAAATCCTGAGTAACGTCAATGTTCACATTGGCATTAAATTGGGGCATGCTTATCTGCTATACACATGGATTCATAAAAGTCTTCCTTAGTCTTGGTATAAATAGAGGACTTAAGATATTATTTGAGTCCATAGTTTTTTATGGGAGATAAAAGGAGGTAAAGTAAGGCAGCGGTAGCTACTCTTTGCAGGAAGAGACACAGAACTCGATTAACAAAGACTATGAACTGAGTCAGCATGGAGCCCATCCTTTTGAAGAGTTATTTTCTTTGCTAGTTTGATTTCCTTATTTTGTTTCAACTAGACACTTTTTAAAGTGCCTACATTCCATCCAAAATAAGATTTTTATGTTTTTGGTTGTACTTTATCACCCATCAGGACACAGTCCTTTTATCTCCCATAAAGGCCTCTCCCTTCACCCTTCCTGTGAGTCACAAGTTCCTCCGTTTTGCTGGTTCTGGTGAGATAAGCGGCAACGCCACAGGCAAGCGAGCGTGAGATGGAGAAATGCCACCTTCCTCTGGGCGCTCTGAGGTTTTAGGATGGTGTTGAACTTTGGCTGTCCTTGATTTAAAATATTCTGTGCTAAAGAGGTCTTTGTTGTCAACAACATACACTCCAGGATTTATGGAGCATCTAGGTGCAGGAAATATGAGCCACACAACAGTAGCGTCTGCCCTCGGGGCGGTCTAGCCAGGGAGGGGACTTTAAGTCAAGCTTTGTAGAGCTGATTACTTGACTATGGCTGACTTCAGAGCGATGAAAGGATAAGTGGAGAACTGATCTAGTCTAGGCATCAGGGAAGTGACATTTGAGCTGAACTCTGAAGATGAAGAAGGAATTTACTTTGGGGCTGGAGAAGGGAGCTGGCAAATCTCCCCACGCAGAGCAACAGGCCTGAGGCCCTGAGAAGCAGCCAGGGGGCGCAGGGCAAGGAGACTGGAGCGGGGATTCAGGCAGAGGCTGACCCAGTGGAAGGGCTGCCCCCGCAGGCTCTCATGAGGGTTTGATCCTGAGAGGAACTGTGAACCGATCCTTCCAGCAGGAGTGGAATGAGGGGGTGTCGGGAGGGAACACAGAGAGGGTAGGAGTCTGGTTGAGGGAGCAGGGCCTGAGCGGGCTGGGCACAGTGGAAATGCAGAAAAGTGAATGGTAGAATAAGTCGTCCTACAAGGTAGAAAATGAACAGTTATGTATTAACAAATCAGGATCAGAAATCATCATAGGAATATACATTTTATATTAAGACATTTTAAACATCAAGTGTCCTTTAAAAGATGCTTGTGTGCTCATCTGCAGACCCCAGAGCCAAGCTCTCAGGGTCAACTGGTCCTTTCTCTGTGACTTGCACAATAGGCTGCTTCAGCCACATGGTGCACAGATGATCCATTAAATTCAAAGCCATTAAAAAAAAACCCAAGGAGGATGTGTATATATATATATATATATATATATATATATATATGTATTTAGATATAGGATCTCACTCTGTCACCCAGACTGGAGTACAGTGGCACAATCCTTCCTCATTGTAACCTCGAATTCCTGGGCTCAAGCGATCCTCCTGCCTCACCCTACTGAGTACGCAGGACTACAGAGGCATGCCACCACAGCTGGCTAATTTTTCTTATTTATTTATTTTTTCTGGTATAGACAAGGTGTCACCATGTTGCCCCAGCTGGTCTTGAACTCCTGGTCTCAAGCAATCTTCCCCCTTGGTCTCCCAAAGTGCTGGGATCACGTGTGTGCCTAAGTAGACATTTTTGAAAGAGCCAAATCTGACACGAGGCAAGGGTGACCAACAGTTCTGGCTCTCCTGAGCTAGGGAGTATTCCTGTAAGGTAGATCTCAGTGCTTTAATTTCTTTCAACCCCACACTGCCAAAATTGTCCATCTTCCAGACAGATCAGAGAACCTTATGTCTCTTTCTTAACACACAGCCAGAGGCAAACCACATTGTTCTAAAAGTTTTCCAGGAAAAGCCTGCAATGAAAAAGTCAGCAAACAAAGCAAATGACCGTGTGACTACATAACCTGAAGAAATGAATGAGTAGCTCTTTGGTGCAGATTTCTTTCTCATTATGTATAAAAGAGAAGTTTATGGATTACAGCCTAGAACTAAATGCTTTATAATTATAGACCACTAGTGACAAGATTTATGTTGTAATCTTTTTTTTTGATGTGTTTTATTTGATAAGTTTTTTTTTTTTATTTTGGGCCCCACTGGTTAATGAGAAGAGGCAGCCCTGTCCCTCTCCCCTTTATTCCTCCACATCCCCCACCTCTCATCCCAGCCCATCACGAGCTCTTTAGGGGACTGACCAGCACTTTGGCTTTTGGCTTGACTTACAATCAGCTGGGAGGGAAAGAGGTCATTTTCAAAGTCTTGTTTGAGAAAGTGCCTAATGGAAAAATGAGTGCCTGGAGCTCATCACACTAGATTTTTTTTTTTTTTTTTTTTTTTGGTAAGAGAAATGCTCTTACCAAATCCTTATAAAGTCAATGCCAAACATTTATTCAGTGCTTACATATAAAGCATCCTGCTACCA